TGCTGGATTGCTTGCTGGATGGAAATACTCTATTCTGATTGGTCCGTCTTGAGAAAAATCCTAATCAGAACAGAGTATTTCCATCCAGCAAACAATCCAGCATGAAAACAAACATCGTGTGCCGCTGGCTTTAGACTTTCTTGAAAACCACAAATACTTTAGGTATAACAAAATTAATTATAGAAAATTATGTTAAAATTGTTATGAATTATGAGGGAAAATTAATGAGCCAAAAATGTCAATATATCAGACATAAATTGACAAAAATTATTTTATTTCAAAGACAATAATATACCGTCATTTGGGATAACTTTTATATCGCTGATATGAAAGTTCTATCCGTTTAATGATGCCACATGTTTTTGTAAGCCGTTGCAAATTGTTCAAAGTTACCCCGGTGTTCCAAGTTACCTCAAATAACGGTATTTTAAATAATTTTTTAAAAAATGTTGAACGTTCTTTTTATAATATTATATAATATATATTATATAATATATAATATATATATATATATATATATATATATATATATATATATATATATAATGGGAACGTTACTTTTTAAAAGTAACGCGTTACCATTACCGTTACTTGCGGTAAAAAGTAACTCGTTACTCGTTACTGATTCTAAAAAGTAACGCGTTACCGTTATTTGAAAAGTAACGATAAAAAAATCGTTACTTTCCGTTACTTTTGTAAAAAAAAAAATGTTAAAATCAGCTTATAAAACGAATTATTACCGGTACTTATCCAGTTTAGCGACTCACCTCCTATTTCGATGATAGTAGACTCAATCGACGCGTTTTTGTTAAAGAAACAACTTTTTCCTATGACAAAATCGTCGCTCTCTACTGCGAAGCGAGAAATTAATTGTTAAAGATGTTAGGTATGATAGGTTAAGAAACCGGGAGCGGTGCACTTGGACACGGTGCATTTGGACACAGCCAATCACAGCACCGTGTGATTAGAGACATTTGTAGGGTCCCTTGGAACAGCAACTTGTGATTGGACCGTGTCCAATTGCCCCGTGTCCAACTGATATACACCCAAGAAACCAGTCATTGCAACGTAAAGTCTGTTAGTTAGAGTTGCACTTACTGTATTAGTGTAACACAGTGTGCAGCAACTTCAAAATACTTAAATTAAGAATATTTTTAATATATTTAACATTTGTAACACGGGAAAAATATCGGACGACATTAGGTTGGGTTAGGTTAGTTTTTGGGAGGGTGCGGGGGGCGCGTCGCATTATCTCAATTAGAGGATTTGATTAGTTAACTCGTGACGCAGCAAATGATGCGTCACGTCGTCCGTTGCAGACCAATCAAATCGTCCTATTTTATTGCCTAACTTTACGATGAATAAAATGGGACGATTTGATTGGTCCGCGAAGGACGACACTCGCGTAACGCGCTAAGTGGGAACGCACCCTTATTAAATCATCGGCTGCACTCCGCATACGATGTATTTGGTCTGTTCTTTCAGCTGCATGTTGAACTGGTGCAATAAGTTAAAGTGAGATAAGTATATGTTTTCTCACTCTAACTTATTGCACCAGTTCAGCAGCTGAAAAGATAGACCAATTGTAGAACAGGCCTTAAGTATGTCAGAATGGCCGAAACGGGTAAGAAGATAAACTTGAATAAAACCGCGTCGAAATATAAATGTATGTATCGTAAAGACGACAAAACGTCATCGTGTTCGGAGTACGTTCTACGAAAGACGGGATTCCCGAAATTTAACAGAAAAGGAAACCACATTTATGTGAACAATAAAACTCACTTTAAGGTACTTGATTTTGGTTCTAATTATAACCTTTAAATGTTTGCAACACTCACAACTTAAATTTCTAAATATATGTTCATTTCGGCAACATTTTATTACTTTGTCAAATATCTGTGGATATTTTCAGGCGCAATTGTATAAGTGCGAAAAACGACTTGACAATGGCGCATCGGAACTAATCATACATGGTCTTGGAGCTGCTGTATACAAAGCTACTAATTTGGCTCTGCAACTGAAGGAGATTCATTATGGATGTTTAGATTTTGATATTAAAACTTCTACTATACAATTAAAAGGTATGTTTGCTTGTATTTATATGAATCAGAACAAGTTTTAATAGAATCTCTTTTGTTACAGATAAACTAGAATCATTGAATGACAACATGGATAGTGAAATTAACAGACAGAATTCTGCTATACATATCCGTGTCTTCAGAAAAGTACCTGTGGCTGTACTAAGATCTACAAACTAATGTGATTTGAGAAACCAATGTGTTTGAGCAATCGGATTGTATAATAGAGTAATAGAAATATTTGAATTACTATCGCAATACTATAGGTACAAAATTGTATTGACTTCATAATGATTTTCTCCTTGGATGAAGTAGTCCATTTGTTAGGGTTAACACTCTTTGAAATGTGGATCAATTTAATCTCCTTAACAATCTTCACCATACTATTAGCCTTTAAATTGGATAATAATTATTTTATGGAGCCATCAGAATGGTGGACTGTGTTTTCACCACTTTTTATTGCCGATGGTTTGAACACATATTTTTGTGCTATCATATTTATAAGAATGCATATGGAGGGAATGATCAAAGCAGCTATTCTTAGAGCAATGTGGAGTGTGATATCATTGCTTTTGATCTTTGTCTTTAAGTATCTGCTGTGTAAAAAACTCGCTGGACAAAGCCCTTTAGAATATTCGGAAGTAATGAGTCCTGTATTCATTCTTCTGCAGCTAGTAGCAGTGAGAGCCTGTCATATTCATTGAGGAAAGCAAGAAACTGTTTTTTGGATGTACCACAGTGCTTCCAAAATATCTGCCATGTATGATAACACGTGTTACCATATATCATATGATTGTATATATATTACATCTCATAAAATTAATTTCATAGATTAAACCATTAAAAAGATATTCTCTCTACAAATAAACATATTATATTTTTATTCTATCTATTTATAATACTTCATAAAATAATCTGTTTTGTTAATTAGAAATATTTATATATAATATATACGTTATGTGATAAAAATTTAATAAATATCTTTTATCACAAAATACCTCCAAGAATATTAATAAATATAGAGGTAAGTTAATTATATAATATAAATTATTTTTTATGATATAGTATTTTAATAATAGTTGTAACAAAGTCATTACAAAATCTGTTTTTTTTTAATACATTTTGAATATATATATATATATATATATATATATATATATATATATATATATATATATATATGTGTGTGGAGATATATATACATACATAAAATAATATAAACGATTTATAAAGAATTGATTGTTTCCAAAAAAAAAAGGGATCTAAAAGTTCTATTATATATAATAATAAATTTAAAGTTTTGTTTACAAAATATGATTATAGATAATTACAATTCCAATATTTAACACTTATTAATACGCGTCGCATATTACAAAACTATTTTTAACCATTCAGTTTTCCAATATGCTTATATATAGCATTGGAACTCTTATCTCTTAGAAAGTGTTCATTAAACCAAGACAGAAGTTTCTTTTAAACAAAAATAACAGGCCTATGAATCACATAACGTAACATAGACCGATAAATTTAACACTGCTCCATTTAAACTCTAAAGATAAACAACTGACAGGCCAGTTGCTTTGGTGAGAGCATGAGTGCCCCCTCCAGTCCTCTTCAACTAGATCAATATTCCTAACTGAAGGGAGACAGTGGTTGTGCATGCAGTGAGAAGGGGTGTGTGAATCAAGTGATTCTATAGGTAAAGCCTGTTGCTGCTACCACATTTCTAAGCTCGCAAAGCGTGCAGCATCAAATGACACTCATTCTGCGACGATTAGCTCTATTCATAAAGCTGATTAATAATTAGAAAATTCAGTGATGTGCTGTGGACATATCAAAGGATTATGGATAGACTGGCTAATTGGACTCATGGTCAGTTTTTTATTCTTTATCTTAACTTCCAATGTATATATACATATTAAACACACACACACACACACACACATATATATATATATATATATATATATATATATATATATATATTTGTATGTATAGAATAAATGTGCTATTTTTGTATATAAAACACAATCTGAAATATTCAAATAGCAGTATATATAATGAAGTATATAATGTGCAGTTCTTGTTTTAGAGCAAAGCTTAAGAAGCTATACAGTGTAAATGTGGAAGAACAAATTGCAAACTTTATAAAACTATGCGAGAAACACCATAACGAATTATATTATTTTTCCCTATGTTATATAAATAATGTAGATTGATGTTACACTGTGTACAACAAGAGTGTTCTAACATGATATGTATGTCTATTCCATTCTCTATTTGATGTTTTGTTGTTAGGTATAAACGCAACAATCCCAGCACCTGTCACGGGACAAAACTGTGTGTCAAATATATCAAATACTGTGATCGTAGACAAATCACTGGTTACTGCTCCATCATGGAATTCAGTACAACAAGACTTAACATGGACTTTCCTATTGCACATTTACGGCTTCGCATGCCTCTTCTTTGTACTTGGGTTTTATACTTTCTTCTCTATTCTAAATTTAAGGTATATTTGTACACACATATCACTGGTACATGCTGGTAACGTAAGTATTTACATTTTTATGTGTAATCCGTTTTTTCCAGGTCTCTCATATCAAGCCGACCGTTTATGTCGACCATTAATATATTCTTATGTCTGCTCGGAGTATCGAGAGCTGCTTGCCTGTTCATAGATTCGTACAATCTCAAGGAGACAATGCCCAAAGTGATCGGATTAATTATGTGGGACATTGGATATCCGTGCATCACATCTGCCTTTTGTCTGATCCAATTGGCGTTCCTACAATTGACACAAGTAATTATTACTGAGTAGTATAAATCGTAAGAAAGATATGTAATATATAAATTACAAGATATAAATTACAACGTTGTATACACGAATGCTTCAATGGGTACTTCCAGCTAAAATTTGGCCCAGAGAGAATGCAGAAGGAATCCTGCCTCAGTCTTATCATAACAGCTCACTTCTTCTTTATTATCGCCAGCGACGTCGTTCTAGTCACTCATAATTACTACATAGCGAAATACGTATTGCAAACGATATTTCTCACAGTCAATGTGCTTATATATTTGACGTTCTTACATGCCGGTTATAAAATCAATCACTTACTCCGAACTATGCCGAGCAGTATGTTGACCCGGGACAATTCTACCGCACATCAAAAAGGTTCGTTATCTTCGCTATGGGTCTTTATTCTATTTTTACATATTACTACATTTGTCTCGACAAACTTTGTGTTCACAAGAATCGTCTTCAATTCATGCATGCAGGTATCATGCAGCTCGCAATGCTGGCGCCCTATAGCAATCTGGCAACTTCGGTCGCGGCCGCGCTGGTACCTACTTTACTCGGCCCTAAGATAAAGGATCAGGAAAAGAACGAGACTGCAAACGCAAATAAGAATAATACGGAGGAAGCTCCTCAAGGTGAAACGCAGCAAACGTCCTGTCGACATTTCCCATAATACTTTGCTAGTAGATCCTGTTGTATTTCTGCTATCAAGCTGCCAACAAAATTTAAAACAGACATTGCATAAAATCTGGTCCTGCTATTTAGCCTTCTACGTGGGTCACACAGTATACATGCACAAGCATATACATGTATATATGTGTGTGTGTGTGTGTGTATTGAAATAATATTAAAAATTTTCAGAATCGCAGATCACGACTACCGCAAAGGTATGCAGGATAGAGGAGCCAGTGCAAAAGGAAGTTCACAACACTACGATATCTACAATACAATCGCCATCGCAAGAACAGAAATCGGCTGTACCAGAGGTCTATGTGAGACCACCCACACCTACGCCGTCGACCACCAATCTGCCGATCATAACCGTGTCCAGTCCGAGTCGCAGAAGCTCCGTGGGCAGCCGACGAGGTAGCGACATGTCCGCACAGTCAGACAAGTCTTCGCGCAGAAATTCCGAGTGCAGCGTCAGGTTTGTAAACGAGGAAGACACGACGACGACGACAGAGTACAGGCGTACAACGGAGGGCAGTCCGCGACACAGAATGCGCGAGGAAATCGAGAGAAGTCGCTCGCCCGACAGCATATCGCGACGTTATTCGGAGAATATCACGCCGACGGGAAGCACCAGAGAGCTGCGTAGATGCTCCGATTTTACGCATGAAAAGAACCGCGGCTCGCAGTTCGCGACCAAGCTGCGGAGGAATAGCGACTTCGGTAATAGGACACCTAGGCGAATGTTGCCGCTCGAAGAACATTCCAGGTTGCCCAAGGTTCTAGATCTCAGTCCCACAGGTAATTATTGAAGAGGAGATACGATACAAAAGGAATTGTCTCGAGAGAGAGAATCGTTTTCTTCCGCGCGTTCGTTTGTCTTTTAATCCTTTGGGGACGGAGCCGCTCGACGGGCTATAAGGAAGATAAGACTTCATCGCTAATGGTCCCTAATGTCTTTGAATGAAAACGTGACTCTTTTACTATACCTATGCGTATCTTATCGCTCAGAACGACAGACGTCGCGAGCCTTGCAGCTACGAACTAATTTGGGCGGCTATATGCCGACACGCGTCCGGAACGGTAAAACGGTTTGGGCGGCTATATGCCGACACTCGTCCCCAAAGGGTTAAACACTTTTTATACTTGTCGGAGACTTTCGCGTTAATTGAATACATAGATGCGTAATTTAATCTTTGTCTATTGACGTTTCAGGTTCAAGACGCAATTCCGATATCGGTACCTTCGTACCACCTCGAATTGACTCACGCAGAAATTCTGAAAGCACGTACCGACGCAACTCCGAGTTCATTCACATTAAGCCGTTAATTATCAGCCGTCGAAGTAGCGACATAAGTATTCGAACTCTGGACAGGAGTCCCACTCACTTTCAGAGTATAGTTTCACCTGCAAAGGTAGAAACACAAGAAAAATCCGAGTCCGATTCGGATCAACATGATTGCAGCGAAAAAGCAGCGCTAATGAACGAAAAGGCCAAGGGTAAGGAGGAGGAAACGAAGATACGCAAGAAGAATTTATCGTGGAAGACTGATAAAAATATGGAGGATCCAGAGGACATCACGGCGGAGACTAATTTGCTTCCCGAGAACACGCCTAGCGAAGCAAGAGTTATGGTACAATGCTTTCCTAAGCACAAATATCCAGGAGACGTCCAGAGTATATCTTGAGAATGTTCTGGGGACGTCTACGTCCTCAGGATATTTTGTAGGACGTCCCTAGGAGATTTTGTGTTGTATGGATTATTACTTCGTTCAACTTGGAAAACATAGATCTAAAACACATTATGATCCTCAGGTGTCTTTAAAGCTCCTATGTCCTCATCTTGATTTATGACGTTAGAAAAAAGTGAGAAAATCATAGACATAGTATGAATCGGAGTATGCCGTTACTTGGCTGACGCCAGTAAATAATAGGAGTGAGACAGAGTAGGAAGTGTACGCGCACTCTCTCTCTCTCTCTCTCTCTCTCTCTCTCTCTCTCTCTCTCTTCGCGCCTGCGCAAATTGATTATACCGAGTCAGAACGCATATAACTTAGAGCGAAAGAACGTTGAGGAGAGCCTCGCAAGTGTCAAAATGTCACGGAAATGTGTTACATATGACAATATAAAAAATAATAATCAATCTTTGTATAAGTAAGTATTTATTAATCTACATCTATTATAGTGCAATTGCCTTCAGCACTTTAGCATTGTAATGAAATATAATAAAATCCTAGTGAGCGGAAGCTCTCGAATCGACGCATTAGACATCTTTAAGAACTCTTAAAGATACCTTAAACATTGCTAATGCGACGATTTGCGAGCTTTTGCTCATTGGAATTTTATATTTCATTACAAAGCTAACGTGCTGAAAGAAATTGCACTATAATAGATGTAGATTAATAAATACTTATACAAAGATTTATTATCGTCATTTCTTACATCGTCACATCCCACACAGCAGAAATGTTCTGAATACATCACAAGGATAAAGATATCTCAAATCTGATATCTCAATATCTGTAGGATATTCCTATGATATATTCGGGACATTTTTATTGTGAGGGATATAACACATTTCCGAGGCATTTTGACACTTTCGAGGCCTCTTCAAGGTTCTTTCGCTCTATGTTATACGCGTTCTGACTCGATATAATCAATTTGCGCAGGCGCGAAGAGACAGAGTGCGCGTAAACTTCCTGCTCTGTCTCACTTCCATTCTTTGCTGGCATCAGTCAAGAGACGGCATGCTCCGTCTATTCATACTATATCTATGGAGAAAATATAGCTCTCTCTCTCTCTCTCTCTCTCTCTCTC